GTGTGTGTTTTATTCTGTGCCTTGTAATGTGATGCTGGCATTTACCTTGGTGCTCAGGTGGTCCTTGTTTTGGCCATTGGGAGCCCCTCCTGTGTCCTTTGTGCAGGCTTCCATCCTGTCAAGCCTTGCCTTCCTCTGTGGTCCTGCAGGACGGTCTGGGCTTATCTTGTGTATTCCCCGCCCCAGCCCTGGAATGACCACCTCTCCTGCAAGAAGCCCTGGTTCCTCAGAGTGGGGATGAGATTCACACACCGTGGCCTGGGTGCTGGTCATGCTTGACGCTGTTGGGGCGTCATTGCTTCTGGATTCTCTCTGCCGACAGGGCTTGGAAATAGGAATGCTACCCCGTGTGTCTCTGTGTGTCTGTGTCTATCTCACTGTCTGTCTCTTCCAAAGCTCCTGAGTTCCTGTTCATAGGGTGTAGAGTGTTCATGTCGTGGGTCTGTCTGAGGCTTTGGGTGACCTGCAAGGGATAGACAGAGTTCCCTGGAGAAAGGAGGATCTTCCTTTGGGGCTAACGATGTGGCTGGGAGGCAGGAAATTACCTGTCCCTTTTGAAGGCTACCTGGGGCTTGTGGCCATGGGAGAGGCAGGCCGGGCCAGGCAATGAGCTGTCCTGGGTCAGGTAATGTTGGCAGGTGTGCAAGTGAGAGGACCCTTCCTTCTGGTTCACAGACTGCTATTTGGAGCTCGTGCCCAGCCCCAGGGCAGGAGGTGGGCAGTGTGTGGTCTGGTGGGTGCGCAGCCTTCTAGACCCACCCGAGGGCTGGCCCTGGGGGCTCTGGTGACTGGCAGCCCCATGACCAAGAGCACCTCCTTTTGCGGGGTTCTTGGGCGGCCAAGTCCTGGGGTTGCTGGACCTTTGTGCTGTGGACCGCTGTCCACCCCCGGATTCCCGCTGGTCGTCTCTTCTGCCCCACCCTCCGGCCTTGTGGGAGGGGCTCGCAGAGCCTGTACCGCATCTGCTGCTCCCTCAGCACCTGTGCCCCCAGGGTCAGCTCGTGCGGGGCACAGCTCATGCCTTTTTGGGGCTGTTGGTGTCCGCTGCCTGGGGCTGTCACTGCAGGCTTCTGTCATGCTGCAGTGGGCTCCCTTGCCAGTTCTATTCCTAGTGCACCAGATCTGCCCAGAAGCCACAGCAAGCTCAACGTGCCGGGCCCATGGCAGGACGCAGCCAAACCTAGAGCACCTGGGTCTTCCCCTCCCTGCAATTAATAGAACTTATTTTTGGAGCAGTTTTAGATTTACAGAGAAATTGGGCAGGTGGTGGTGAGAGTTCCCTTCTGTCCCCACCCCGCCCGCTTTCCTTATGGGAACACCCTGCCTAGCCCGCTGGCGTGTTTGTCTCCTGACGGCCGATACTGACACATTATTAATGACAGTTCACACTTCACTGGGATTGCCTCTGCTCTTCCCTAATGGCCTTTTTCTGTCCCAGGGCCTCTGCTGGGATCCCTCCTCAGGCTTCTCTGGGCTGGGACCGTTCCCCACATGTTCCCTGTGTTTTGTGCCCAGACAGTGTTGGAGAGGGGTGGCCAGGCAGATGGTAGGGTCCCCCTCGACTGGGTGTGTCTGGTGTTTTGCTCAGGCAAGCACAGGGTGGAGGCTGTTGGGAGGACCTCAGCGGTAAGGGCCCTTCTTGTGACATCCTGGTGAGTATCAGGACGTGGGCCATTGGCAGGACTGGGTTGGAGCCGTGCAGCCATTGCTACTGCCCTGACAGCCTGGCTGCGGGAGTTCCTCAGCCTCTCCCTGGGACACTGTCCCCCAACTTCCCATCCGTGCACTCGTGGATCACTGCACAGCCGATGCATAAGGAATGGAGAGCTGCCTGGGCCCTGACCCCCCATCCTCCCTCCCGGAGGGGCAGTGGAGGCGGCCTAGCCTGGCCTCTCATCCGTTGTGGATGGGGCCAGGGTGGACAGAGGCCTAGGCTCGGCTGTGCCTTGAGAACTGGGGCCCAGCCTCAGCCTCCCAGCTTGGAGCAGGCACTTTTGGGGCTCCAGAGAGGAGGGCAGAAGGACCTGCAGGCTCAAGCAGCCTCGGGCAGCACCGGGCTGGGGTCTGTCCAACTGAGAGCCTCAGGGTCTGGTAGCTTCCCTGCCTTCTGGGCCACGTGCTGAGGGTGGGGTGGCCTGTCGTGCAGTGGGGGAGACAGCTGTGCAAAGAGACAGTTTCGTGTGGCAGGGGAGACCCGGGATCCCGTGGGGACCTGGTGGCAGCCAGAAGCAGCGGGTCACAGCAGAGAGGTCTGAGTGGCTTCTGGGAGTGGAAAGGCGCTTGCCTCCCCTGAGGTCAGGGAGGTGCCCTTTGCTGCTGTGACAAATGACCACAGGCACGGCGGCTGAAGACAGCACCGGTTCATTCTCTACCACGCCTGGAGGAGTCTGGGGCAGCCTCCCTGGGCTAAAATCACGGTGCGGACAGGACTATTCCTTCCGGAGGCTCCTGGAGAGGGTCCACTCCTTACTTTCCCGGCGTCTAGAGGCGCCCGCAGCCCTTGGCTTAGGACCCTTCCCCGCCTCCTTCACAGCCACAGTGCAGCCTCTTCCAGGCTCTGACACCCTCTGTCCGGCCTCCTCTCACGAGGACTCTGTGAGGAGATTCAGCTCCCTGATCGTCCTGTCTCAAGATGCCTAACTCAGTCTCATCCGCAAAGTCCCTGTTGCCGTGAAAGGTGAAACAGTCCCAGGGTCTGGGGTTAGGATGGCGATGTCCTTGGAACCATCGTATCTGCCGGCAACAGCTGTGTGGAGAGATTCCTGAGTGCTCAGGTCCTCGGGTTCAGCTGGTGACAGCGTCAGGGGCCCGCCTGGGCAGGCAGAAGAGGTGGTAAAATGCTCTGCAGGGCACTCGGCTGCTCATCTGGAGCAGGGGAAGAGGTGCAGCCCGCAGCCCAGCACCTGCTCCTTCATACCTGGGGTGTGGCCTGTGGGAAGATACGGAGGTGGGATGAATGAGCCGTGCCCAGTGATTTTAAAAAGCAGATGAAAATAACATAGAAAACGTCAGAGCTCATTGCGTGCTGTAAGGCATTGTGAAACTTGCCTTCATTATTTGTTTTTTGAGACAGGGTCTCACTCTGTTGCCCAGGCTGCGGCCTTGAGCTCCTGGGTCAGGGGATCTCCTGAGGAGCTGGGACCACAGGCACCTGCTACCATGCCCTGCTGTTTTAAATTTTTGTAGAGACGGGATCTGACTCTGTTGGCCAGGCTGTTGAGACTCCTGGCCTCAAGTAACCCTCCCTCCTCATCCTCCCAAAGTGCAGGCATTACAGGCATGAGCCACCACACCACTTGGTGTTGTTTATTTGTTTGTTTGTTTATTTTGAGACATAGTCTTGCTCTGTTGCCCGGGCTGGAGTGCAGTGGCGCGATCTTGGCTCGTGGCAACCTCTGCCTGCCTCCTGGGTTCGAGTGATTCTTTTTCCTCAGCCTCCCAAGGAGCTGGGACTACAAGTGCCCGCCACCACGCCTGTCTAATTTTGTGTATTTTTAGTAGAGACGGGGTTTTACCATGTGGCCAGGCTGGTTTTGAACTCCTGACCTCATAATTTGCCCACCTTGGCTTCCCAAAGTGCTGGGACTACAGGTGTGAGCCACCACGCCCGGCCACTTGGTGTTACTTAAAGATCTTGGTGAGTTGTAAAAAGCGTGCAACAGGCCGGGTGTTGTGGGATTGCGCCACTGCACTCCAGCCTGGAAGACAGAGCAAGACTCCAGCTCAAAAAAAAAAAGCATACAACAGAACCAGGGCCCCAGGGGGTGAGCTTCTCTGCCCCAGAGGTTCAGGCCCACCGAGGGGACCCTAGAGTTGCTTCTGAAATGCAGAAGGAAGCAGAGGGCAGAAGGAAGCAGAGGGCAGCCTGAGCTGAGAGCTGGCACGGGCAGGGGTCTGAGACGGGGGCTCGAAGGCCTGGGCACCCTCCGAGCCCCAGGTGTGCCAAGCCAGTGGGAGGTACAGGTCAGATTGTGAAAGTCTCCCCCCCCCGCCCCCGAGACATAGTCTTTCTCTGTCACCCAGGCTGGAGTACAATGGGCAATCTTGACTCGGCCACTTGCACCCTCCGCTCCCCCCACCTCGGGTTCAAGTGATTCTCAAGTGTCAGCCTCCCAAGTAGCTGGGAGTACAGGCATCCACCACGCCTGGCTAATTTTTATATTTTCAGTAGAAACGGGGTTTCACCATGTTGGCCAGGCTGGTCTTGATCTACTGACCTCAAGTGATCCACCTGCCTCAGTCCAAAGTGCTGAGATTACAGGTGTGAGCCACCACACCCTGCTATAAGAGTCTTGATATTGTCTGGGGCATTGGCTGACACCTGTAATCCCACTACTTTGGGAAGCCATGGCAGGAGGATCACTGAGGCCAGGAGCTCGATACCAGCCTGGACACTGTAGCGAGACTATCTCTTGAGAAAGCAAAGAAGTCTTGAGGCTGCTTCCAAAGCTTGTAGTTCCCTCCCACCTCCATCCTACCAGTGTCCCAGAGCCTCTGTGTCCAGGTCCAATGGAGTTCCCTCCCACCTCCATCCTACCAGTGTCCCAGAGCCTCTGTGACCAGCTCCACGCTCGCTGCCGGGGCTGTGCCCTGGCCCCTGTGGGGTCGCAGCCCCTGCCCCTGCCTCCGTCTCTCCCTGTGCTCTGCCTGTTGTTGTGGCAGGGCTGGGGGCAAAACTTCTTGAAAATCTCTTAGTAGCTCTCTGTGTCTTAAGGCTTCCAGAAGCTTCTTTGGTTTCATTTGACTGTTCATGGGTGCTCTCAGTGCCTCAGCCCTGGTTTTTAGGAGCTGAGCCTAAAATGGGCCCTCACTGGAAACTTGACTGGGTAGAGTGATCACAGTTATAGATGTTTGCGTTGTTTAAAAACTGACGAGAATGGGAAACATCTGAATAAAGGAAAGTGTGCTCGTGCTGTGTGCAGCTGGCGGGAGTCAGATTTAGAATCAAAACTTGAGCGTGCGATCAGTTTAGTTAATCATGCTTTTATTGCATGTTTTAGGAACCATCACCCTCGCTGGAGGCGCCCTGACAAATCCTAGCCAATTTTGGAGCACCTCCACCAGGGAACCTGCCATCCGGAAGTAAGTAACACAGACCTGGCCCCCACGTGGCCCCACAGACCAGGGCCCGGAAGGCTGTGGCCTCTTCCCTGGGTGGCTCGCCAGGGAGAAGGGGGTGGCCTGCCTGGCTCTGAATTTCTGTGACGTGAGGCGTGGGCTGTGCTCGGACGGGAGCCTGCAGGCCACGGTAGGGAGGTTCCTCTGGAAGTTTCTGCAGGTCTGTCTGCTTTGGGCTTGCATCTCGCCCTTTGGCATCGAACCTCCCAACCCTCACTTCACAGTTTGGGAGACACTGGGGTTACCCAGGACTCACTGCCCTGTCTACTTCATGAGTATCGGCCCTGGGGATACCTGGGCTCATGCACACTGCCAGAAGTGGGGAGCAGTTAGAGCAGGGGTCTCTAGAAATAGGGGCTCCTTTTTAAATGCCTTTGGGATAGTTCCGTGACCCGGCTGCCCTAGGTTTCTTGTGCCTTTCTTATAAGCCAAGGACAGCGGGTTTACAGAGGTGCCTCTGATGGCAGCCCCAGGGCCACTCAGGAGAAAGAGAGTGACCTCATCCCTTCTGGCCACGCCCACAAGGCACGGGTGACGTTGGGGAGGGCGTCCGATGTGGGATGCGCGGTGCCCCCGTCCTCCTGTTGAGGCAGAGGCGGGTGGTGGCCAGCAGAGCACTGGGGAAGCTCCGTCCGGTGCTGTGGCATCGCTCTGGGAGTCTGTGCCACGTCCCTGTGCAGAGGGAGGACAGCGCTTGTTCAGGGCCCCTTGTAGCTAACTAGGGCGAGTGTGGACTTGAGCTGGGCCCTTGTGCCATTTGTGGGTACCTTTTCTGTTCTGCCATGAATAGGACCTCGAGGAGGATGGTAGAACCCAGCCTCCCTTTGGAAGGTGTGAAATAAAAGAAAAGGCTCTGGGCACGTGGTTGGCAAACTATGGTCCCTGGACCCGACTGTTGCTGTAAATAAAGTTTTATTAGCACATGGCCGTGTCCACTCACCTGTGCATTGTCTCTGGCTGCCGGCTCCTCCGGTGGGAGGCGGGAATAGCTGGAGCGGAGGGCGTGGCCTGTGCATCTGTAGGTATTTCCTCTCTGGGCCTGTGTGGATAACCATGCACCTCCCTCGTCCAGGTTAACTTACTGCTGTCTGGGCAGGATGGACAAGTCCCTTGGTGACTTGCTTTGGAAATTGGCAGCTCTGTCTGTGCCTCCTAAATCTCGATTTTACACTTTGACAGTCAATTTTCTAAAACTCAGCCGTTTTTCTTTTTTTTTTTTTGAGACGGAGTTTCGCTCTTGTTACCCAGGCTGGAGTGCAATGGCGATCTCGGCTCACCGCAACCTCCGCCTCCTGGGTTCAGGCAATTCTCCTGCCTCAGCCTCCTGAGTAGCTGGGATTACAGGCACGCGCCACCATACCCAGCTAATTTTTTGTATTTTTAGTAGAGATGGGGTTTCACCATGTTGACCAGGATGGTCTCGATTTCTTGACCTCGTGATCCACCCGCCTTGGCCTCCCAAAGTGCTGGGATTACACTGCGCCCGGCAACTCAGCCATTTTCTTTGTACCAAAATTAATGTAACACAAGCCAAGTAAGCCACTTGCTCTGTCAGTTAGCTTTATTTTTTTTCTGAGATAGGGTCTTGCTCTGTGTCCCAGGCTGGAGTGCAGTCACAGCTCACTGCATCCTCCACCTCCTGGGCTCAAGTGATCCTCCCGCCTCAGCCTCCTGAGTAGCTGGTACTACAGGCGTGCACCACCATACCTGGCTAATTTTAAAAATGTTTTTGTAGAGATAGGGTCTCTGCTATGTTGCCCAGGCTGGTCTCAAGTTCCTGGCCTCAAGTGACCCTCCCACCTCGGGCTCCCAGCGTGCTGGGGTCATGGGCACGAGTCACCTCATCCTGCTGCAGTTCACCACATAGCCCTTGATAAACCCACTTTATATCCGAAGGTGCCAAGTGCAGTGACCAGGAGGTGCTAGAAAGTACTCAGGGAGAGCACGGAGACAGGAGCGAGGGACCTGGGCGCCTGCTTCCGAGGAGGACCTCGGGGCACACCGTGGAGGCTGGCTGTGGTTTGGCAGGGCCCCAGATAGGCGGCCTTCACTTCGTAAAATATGACTTTTATTGAGATGAAATTCACCCTTTAAAGGCTATAATTTGGAAATTGTTGGCATCACGCTAATTGCAGAGCGTCTCATTGTCCCAGCAGAAGCTCTGTCCCCATCAGCACTTGCTCCCCATCCCGCTCCCACACCCTAAACCAGACATCCCCTTCCTGCCACTGCAGCCTGGCCTGGCCTGGACAGCTCATGGAAATGGGATCGCAGACTGTGTGGCCTTTTGTGCCTGATGTCTCTCACTGAGCGCGCCGTGTTCAGGGTTCATCCACACCGGGGCCTGCGTGACATGCTCAGGGTTCATCCACGCCGGGGCCTGCGTGACACACTCATGGTTCATCCACACCGGGGCCTGCGTGACACACTCAGGGTTCATCCACGCCGGGGCCTGCGTGACACGCTCAGGGTTCATCCACGCCGGGACCTGCGTGACACGCTCAGGGTTCATCCACGCCGGGGCCTGTGTGACACGCTCAGGGTTCATCCACGCCGGGGCCTGCGTGACACGCTCAGGGTTCATCCACACAGGGGCCTGCGTGACACGCTCAGGGTTCATCCACACAGGGGCCTGCGTGACACGCTCAGGGTTCATCCACGCCGGGGCCTGCGTGACACGCTCAGGGTTCATCCACGCCGGGGCCTGCGTGACACGCTCAGGGTTCATCCACGCCGGGGCCTGCGTGACACGCTCAGGGTTCATCCACGCCGGGGCCTGCGTGACACGCTCAGGGTTCATCCACGCCGGGGCCTGCGTGACACGCTCAGTGTTCATCCACGCCGGGGCCTGCGTGACACGCTCAAGGTTCATCCACTCCGGGGCCTGCGTGACACGCTCAGGGTTCATCCACGCCGGGGCCTGCGTGACACGCTCAGGGTTCATCCACACAGGGGCCTGCGTGACACGCTCAGGGTTCATCCACGCCGGGGCCTGCGTGACACGCTCAGGGTTCATCCACACAGGGGCCTGCGTGACACGCTCAGGGTTCATCCACACAGGGGCCTGCGTGACACGCTCAGGGTTCATCCACGCCGGGGCCTGCGTGACACGCTCAGGGTTCATCCACGCCGGGGCCTGCGTGACACGCTCAGGGTTCATCCACGCCGGGGCCCTGCGTGACACGCTCAGGGTTCATCCACGCCGGGGCCTGCGTGACACGCTCAGGGTTCATCCACGCCGGGGCCTGTGTGACACACTCAGGGTTCATCCACACCGGGGCCTGCGTGACACGCTCAGGGTTCATCCACGCCGCGGCCTGCGTGACACACTCGGTTCATCCACGCCGGGGCCTGCGTGACACGCTCAGGGTTCATCCACGCCGGGGCCTGCGTGACACGCTCAGGGTTCATCCACGCCGGGGCCTGCGTGACACGCTCAGGGTTCATCCATGCCGGGGCCTGCATCAGAGCCTGGCTCCTTTTCGTGGTTGAGTCGCGTTCCCGTGGTCTCCTCTGGCTGTTGGGACCGTGCTGCGGTGTACAGGTGTTGGCGTGGAATGCGTTCATTTCCCTGGGTTGATGCCTGGGTGTGGAATCGCGGGTCCTGTGGTGTTTTCTGTTCAGCATTCTCAGGAGTCGCCCGCCTGTTTCCAGGGTAGCTGCACCGTTCGACACGCCCACCAGCAGTGCACGAGGGCTGCCTCTGATTTTGAAACGTCTCTCGGAATCGTCCCCACTTTCTCCATTCCCACCCTGGAGCTGTTGCTTGGCTTATTGAAGTTTTAAATCATAATGATTTCTTCCTCCCAAGTAGAACGCCAGGTTTCCTTGTTCAGGCCTCGTGACTTTTCCTGCACTGTAAACAAGCACACTTTGAACACCTCGCTTTCTATCTATGTGCATGGATAGTGTCAGGTGGGGGCCGCTAGAAAACACCCCTGACTGGCCGGGTGTGGTGGTTCATGCCTGTAATCCCAGCGCTTTGGGAGGCCAAGGCAGGTGGATCACCTGAGGTCAGGAGTTTGAGACCAGCCTGGCCAACATGGTGAAACCCCATCTCTACTAAAATACCAAATAACTGGATGTGGTGGCGTGTGCCCTATAATTCCAGTTACTCGGGACGCTGAGGCAGGAGAATCACTTGAAGCTGGGGGTGGAGGTTGCAATGAGCTGAGATTGCACCACCTCACTCCACCTGGGCGAGAGAGTGTAACTGTCTCAAAAGCAAACAGAAAAAACAAAAGCAAAGAAAACACGCCGGCTTCACCCCGGGCAGCCCTGTGTCCTTCAGCCCCTTGGGGTGGGGCCGCTCTGATGTCATGGGCTGTTTTGGGGAGTGTCAGGACCAGGAGGGCAGCTTTTGTTGTTTTCTTTTCACTAAAACAAATGGAAGCCTGGGCATGGCAGCTCAGGACTGTGATCCCAGCACTTTGGGAGGCCCAGGCAGGTGGCCTTGATTGCTTGAGCCCAGAAGTTCAAGACCAGCTTGGGGAACATGGTGAGACCTGGTCTCTACAAAACAAACAGAAAAGTGACCTGGGTGTGGTGGCACGCCCCTGTAGGGCGGGAGGATGGTGGCACGTCCCTGTAGGGCGGGAGGATGGTGGCACGTCCCTGTAGGGCGGGAGGATGGCTTGAGCCTGGAGTTCCAGGTTGCAGAGCCGTGACTGCGCCACTGCACACCAGAGTTTAGGCTGCAGAGCTGTGACTGCGCCACTGCACTCCGGAGTTTAGGCTGCAGAGCTGTGACTGCGCCACTGCACTCCGGAGTTTAGGCTGCAGAGCTGTGACTGCGCCACTGCACTCCGGAGTTTAGGCTGCAGAGCTGTGACTGCGCCACTGCACACCGGAGTTTAGGCTGCAGAGCTGTGACTGCGCCACTGCACTCCGGCCCAGGCCATACAGCAAGACCCTGTTTCACAAATCAAAATCACTAAAATAAATGCCAAAGAGAAAGAGTAGAG